TCAGACAGTAGCRTATCTAGGATTTTTTCACATATTATRGAGTGGAGGAATATAAAGATTTTAATAGACATATTCAGTATAAACATACATTCATGTATTATACACGTTGCATTATGTACAAAATTTGGTCTCCGTTAGGAGGGGGGCATTACTTCCATACCCCTACAGCAGRTACGCCACTGGTATTATAGATATATCTATATATCTATATACGATGTGTAATGTAACTGAAATATGTAAATAAACTACTAATAGTGACCTGTTTAAGAAAAAATTAGATATTGATCAGAAAAAAAGCTGTTACATATTATTTCATAACATTTGCCAGCTAATTCTGTAACGCCCTGTATGGCTGTATAGTTAATAAGTTTACTGTATATTAAACATAATATTAATCCACAATACTCGCTACCCAACTCTTCATCTATGGTCTGTTTGTTTTTTATTTTATACTGATTCAGCATGCATGCGCGATGGTGCATAATTTACATACCTACCTAAATATTACAGTTTTAATTAATCACATATTATTTAATAGGTACATAATATAATATTATATGAATATTTGTAGAATTTCATGAATTTTAATATTTCATCGTTAAATATYGTCAATGGTATAAACAAGGTACTTATCGTATTAATCGTATATGTACTTTCAATATCAGTATAATTTATAATTTCCATATTATGTTGTATGCTTGTAATTTCGCTTGTAAATTTTATACGGATTACCATGTTCACCGTGGTCTTTCTAATTTTCATTCAAAACAAATTGAATTCGTTTTAATCATATCATTTTAGTATTTTGTATATTTTATTAGTTATTTTATCGTGTTTATTGCATGCTTATAAGAAAACATTTTATACCATTACACACATCATATAATATGGCAGTTGTCCAAGCATGATCGTCCTTTTTTATGATTTAATTAGATATGAACTTGTTTGAATTTAAATTTTTACCATTTTTAAGTAGGGAATACTTGTTCATCATATGTATTTAATGCTTAATTTTCTAAGTCATATTTTGTGRTATATGGTATATTTTGTAGTGATAGAAATTTACTTTCTAAAATTATAATAACTTTGTTTTATTGGTAAATGTTAAGTATRTGATTGTTTTGATGTAAATATTAAATCGTAATTAGAACGAGTAGTTTCTGAGATATTGCATTTAATTAAAAATATTTTAAATTAATTTTAATAATAATTATAGTTTACAATAACTGATTTAGAATATTATACAAAGTTAAACATTAAACATTTAAGATTTGAAAAAAATGGTGATTAGAATAGGTGAATAGTCATATATTGGTAGATTGAAGATTTTTTTGATTTGRTTTAAGACGTATACATCGAGAATCATTGTGCTGAGTAAATCACCATGTGTATTGGCAAATTTACAGGAAGATTTTGGGATACGGGTTCTCACTTCACTCCTTCAGAAAGATGTTGAAAATCTGCCACTGTACAAGTGTGGATTCAGGAGGTGACTAAAAGTCTTTAACTTTATCGTCTTTTGGAAATGTTATATCATAAAAAATATTTCATAAGTTTTAAAATCCATAGATTAAAAATATAAATGAAACTATTAATATTGCTTTATSAAATCTTGTCTATATTTTATTATGCACTTAAATAATAGTTGCTTTCTTTTCTTAAAAAATAAACCTTCCATTTTAGATTTCTAGATCCACACCTGACCATAATATTATTTATGCAGTGTCCTGTTGTGATGCAAAAYTTATTTTCATTTAATTGAAATCCACCCTTTCAAATGTAAATGTATTGTGTTATTTTTTTTGTTGAGTACCTATGCTTGAAAAAATACTAAATTAAATAATACACCTATTTCATATTTTACAATTTTACATAAATGGACTTAACCTTTAATTACACATTAATATTTAAACTTAAAAACTACTCGTTTAAATGTCGATTTACATGCTTAATATTGAAAAAATATATATCACATAGCTTAATCAATTTAGAACAATAAAATGTGGAAGTCGTTCGAAAAAGTAAATTTGTATAGCCATAATATACATTATATGACTTTCCTTAAATAATAAAATAAATCTAAGCATTCGAATATCGAAAATATGATGTTACATATAGTATATGTGAAAATATATACACTAAGTATAACAAATAATATACACTATCTCAGAAAGAAAGGTACACGTCTGGTTGACGATGAAATTTTAATATTATGCGAAATTTAAATGAATGTTAAATATAATATACAAGTGTAATTTATCAATTATTTTATTAATTAATAAAATAATATAGATAATCATACTATGACATAAATTTCAATCATTCGATGAGAACGCTATTCCAATAATTGCGTTGATCAATGCCAATCAATTATTATTTCAACTCGTTCCAAGAGTTTAAATACTTTTTGACCTATATGAAAATCTCTTCTTATGAAACCGTTTTATATCTTTGACGATTTTCTTAAATTTTATATTATTGAAAAAAAAAACCCTATGAATTTCTATTACTGACGTATATAAGGAAAGTGAGCAAATTATGCATTTTCAATTAATAAACGGTTTTTAATACCATCTTGATGATGTATTATTATAATATGGTATATACTTACTGCAGTGTATTATAATTTCGTTTGATTGATAATAATAAGCACGTGCGTAATACAACCGCATATGAATGTGWGTGTTTGAATTTGACGGTGCAAATTTGCAATAGTTTTAACAATGTAAAACAAAGAAAATATAATACCGTTACTTTCTTCCTCGTCGCGTAGCAATTACATCGGTTATTGTATACATCGGAAACAAATAGTTAAAATTAGGAACGAGAGGTTACGATAATACGATATACATRATATAGTCGTTTGATCGAGGTCACACGATGTTAATTTTCTGGGACCGATTGCAAATGATAATTGGGTAGCGGAGCGGTGAACACGAGAAAACATAATAATACACATACAAGATTGTGTAGAGATACAAGTTTTGTACCTTTTAAGATCAAAAACATGTGGTATAATGTACCTAAATTATTTTTCATACATAAGATTTCGGTTTTAAAATTTGTTTTGTCCTTATCGCGTAGCGGTGACCCGCTACAATTATAAATCCTGGTTTCATCTTTAAACGGTCGTTATAAAATTGCTCTTGTTATTTTCTTGAAAATAATTTAAAAGACCAAGGGGAAACCAATAATGTCAATTGTTTGAATCAGATGGGCATAAAAGCTTACAATGGAAGCCGAGGGAAGCAGACACCCCGTCATTTATTAACCTTTTTTTTATTGTRATTTTATAATAAACAATTTAATAAATTACTATACACAATATAGTAACAATTAATTACATAATATAACATTACAAAATGTTCATAATGTATAAGTTAAAAATCTTTTTTGCATCCCAAAACCAGTTTGTTTTACGTTAAAAAACTTGCAGGCGATGCAATCTGCACTTATAGCTTATGAATTTAACCGTTTGAGATATCATACTCTGTTTACAATTTGAACACCAAAGAATCMATGAATAAATAATATTTGGTTTCAAGTTATAATATTTGATTAATAAGAGCAATGTCATATTAATAAAAACKAAATAGTCTCATACCTTTATATGCCTCTATATTGGATTTTCCAATAGATATTTTAGATTTTTAGCAAAGTGATAAATGCATTGATTTTACATTCGTGTGTTTTTTTTTTAATTGTATTTTTTTTTTAAATTTTTTTTCTAGGGTAAGGACTTCGACAACTGAGGTCATAGCCTGGGGAACTGTAGGGGAAGGTACTGTAGGTTTTAACACGTGGGTTTTTGGCAAAATTTTAAATGGGCACCCGTGGGTTTCTGCCATGCTCGGTTGGGGGGCGGCGGCCTCTCTCTCCAGACACCGTGAAATGCCCAAAGAGCGATGCCACCCGTGACCGAGATTCGAACCGGCGACTGCGTGCGTCGCAACCGACGCCTTAGTCCGCTCAGCCACTCCACCNTTTTTTCCCAATTTTTTTTTTGATCATTAAAAACCATTTGCCTGCGGGCGCCAATACCCCCCTTAAATTATATTTGTTATCAGTAATAAGTCATTAGTTTCATTTTTGAATATTAAAAAGTCAATATAGTTGAACAAATTCTAATAGCGTATTGTGATATCTAATAAATTATATCTCAAAATGTATAAAATTAAATAAACTTCTCAATTTCTTAAGTAAATAAAAATTTTAATTTGATAATTTTATGATTTATCAAAAGATAAATTATTTTTAGTTATGTTTTCGCTTACATGCAATCAAATATTTTTGGAAGGTACTATAATTAACGTATCTTCTATAGTTCAATGTGTGGTTCAAAAATTGTCTAGATTCTTAATATATATATTAGTATAATATAGTAATATCATACGGAGTTATAAATATGAGTTTTCAAACTTTAAGCTTTGATATTTTTTTTTAGAATACTTAATAACATATAAATATAGTTTTTAAAATGATCCAATGATTACCAAAATCGTTATATTAATAAACTTTCTAATAACGTTTTCTAGAACCAATTAGTTCCTAATCCAACAATATCTTAAATTCAATATTTAAAATTTACAAATACATCTTTTGTAATATCAATTAAATGTAATAATTTAAATAAAAATAAATAAAACTGCAATAAATCAAAATCAAAAATTAACGATTTTATCACATATTTTGTAAAAACCAAAAAATATAAAAATATTTAAATTTCCTTGTTGTGTAATTGCATTGTTCAAATAAAATAAAATATTTCTAAATTTTATTATCATACATAATATATTCTCTTATATCTAATAATGCAGTTACAATGCAAAATAAAATCATACACAAATATTTTTTTTTTTTTGTAATTTGAAATGCTAAGAAATATTACAGCTCAGCCTAAGTAAAAATATGTAAAGACATAATAATCTAGTCTTTAATGATAGTTTTTTTATGTTTATCATTTAATAAAATATATAAATAATTATTTTTTTTATTTTCAGGAAACGCTAGGTACAGTCTATGCGGATTTGGTTTACTGATCATTTCGTACGCTCTGTTTTTCTTCGATCCGGTGGAGATCATCAAATCAGCGGTAAGTGCATATATTTCCTTTTTAATAATTTTATATTAATTACTTTCATTTACATTTTCCTATGATAACTTTTATCGGAACTATAGCTGAATACTTCAGTATTTATATATCATATTATAAAATTATAATGTATTAAAAAAAAAACATGTGTATAAAACTTGTTTCTAAAAATGTTTAGGAATAAAACTGTTTAATAAACATATAATAATCAGCATTCTTATGATAAAGTGTTATTAATAAGTTATATTTATAAACGAATAATCCATTTAATTATTAACAAGATTAAATTTATTTGAGAGACATAAATAATTGGGCCATGAAATCGAACAGATGTAACCTAATAAGTGATGCGGAAAACTGATTTGCATTTATTATATATATCGTAACCTTATAATATAATACCTTATACATATAATAATTGAGTTTTAATACGATATATATCATTAGAGTGATTAATTTTAATTTATTTGAATTATAATGTATCATACATGAAATTGTTATTATTTATTGATTTGGGGATAGATTTCGCCCCATAGTTAAATCATGCATATTACTTAGTATGAAATAAATTATACACACGAACACTAAATATAATGTTATAGGTAMTTATTATTAGACGTGTGAAACCTGAATTATTATTCACGAATATATACGCCCGTACGTCTTAAAAAAATCTATTTAATTAAGCAATCAATTTACTATTATATGTACCTCGCGACCTTTTTTAATTGAGCTGCGGGATATATAAACATTAAAAACAGGGTTAAAAGACAATTCCGCATTACCGCATACCTAGTATATTTAGCTCAAGGAGCAATTATTCATACTGTATTGAACATAATACTATAAAATTACCCATACAATATAATATATTATAAGTAGGTATTACTATCTTATTCTTAATATATATTAGGTAGGTACGCTTGGTCTTAAAATGTGTTTTTTTTCTACTCTTTATGTTAATTGCCGACAGCAGACTCGTGAACGGTAATTTTTTTTTCTAGATTTATTACTAATATTGTTCTTGAAATATTGTTATTTATCATTAATTACGCACCAATCGTTCCCAATCGCCTTGATTTTGAAGTTTTAGTGATACTTAAGGTCCGCGTGTCTTTCACTCGGACGTTCACCATTAAACAATCAATTAATAAATCGTTTTCATTATACTATAATAATTACCATTATATGTATTTTATACTTAGGTATCAGATATTCGAAAATATTTAATTCATAATTGCATAATATTTTATCACATTTATACGTTTATTTCATCATCGGTTTATAGACTTGCTTTTTGCGATAGTTTTAATAGAGGTACCTGATACTTGTCTAATAAAATTATTGCATTTGGAACTTATAATAAGAGCCGCGTTCGATTAATTTGCAACACACAGAAGTGTTTTAAATATTATTACTATTATTTAATAAATGTTGTACCACATAAAAATGATTTATCGCGTGAATAATAATCACATTACCCACTGCTGTATACCACGATGTCAACAGTTGATCTGTCGTCATCACAAGGTTTCTAGATTTCTTACCTGTATATTATAATATTATATACAGTTGTGTAGACTTGTATCGGACGAATGTTGTTGTAGTTGTAGATGGATGGACGAGATATCAATAATTGATACGTTATACGTCTGAGATCCGTAACAACCGATGTCGAATAGAATATACACGTTAGACGATTACCTTAAAGTGGTCAGTCAATGTACCGAATATCGTGACTATGAAACACCTACGGTTATAATTTATACTACCTATATATTATAATATCTATCTATACATATATAGATATATGTGTGTGTGTATCGATATGAATATGAATATGATGATTAATGAGTGTTTATATAATAATGATAATATATTATAAGCTCGGTTTACAATACAGTTATGGGCGGACGATAGAAAATAATATATTTACGCAGTTTATGGATTAATTAATGATAATATGATAGACCTTTTGTAACAAAATATTACTTATTCAGTTTTAATTAAATGTCTATAGATGAAAAAATTGTTTTAATGTTTTGTTTCAAAGAATGACAAAATTATTCACCATCAGAACTGACAGGAATAGTTTTATACAGTGAAATTGCATGTGGTAATAAACTTACGGGAAAGTATAGAAAAATGTTCGTAATTTTCTTGAATAATTATCACCCTGTATATGTGTTAATTATAAATCTATACTACGTTTTGAATATATAGCAATTTGAATAGAATTATCAAGAAACAAAAATATAATGGAATTTTATTTGTTATCGTTTGTGATTAATAATGATAAGTTTTCTATTTAAAACCCATAATTGGTTATAAATTAAGGTTATGATTGAAGGATTGTCAAATAAGGCTCTCAATTAAGGTACAATAATATATACTAAGTGATTCAATAATTATTGTCCTATTCATTAATTTATTAAAAATGTATATATGCAAATACTAATTTTTAGAAATGTATAGTTTTCTTTAAGGGCACTCCTGTTTTTAAGTAATTTAAAAAAATACTTTTATTTTTTATTCCATTTAAGGATGCTATTATATACGAGTTAATACACTTCATATACTGAGGATAATATACCATAATGGTTTTACATAAAATATAAAATCAATGTTATACTTAGTCAAGTTCAAGTACTTATTATACACAGAAAATGTTTATAAATTATGAAGTTGTAATAAACTAGCTGCATAACTCGACTTATCCTGAGAAGAAATTAACAAACATAAAATACGGGGCTATGTTTCTCGGWTTTAGTCTACACAGGCAAAATATCGGCATCGTTTTACCACGCTTTTTGAAGTAGTTCTACCGTGATGGTTAATCCACCGTGGCAGATTGCATATTATAGCACTTGGTATATTTTCGAACGCTATTCAAACTATAATCTCTAAACTTTTCTGATATTTCTAAAAAAAACCCTGAAACATTCGTCATAAGAGGACATTGTTTTTTATTGTATATTTGAATAACTAACATTAAATCAAATATTTATTTATTTAAAAAAAAATCCCAAATCAATCTGATTCGGTTATTTAGTAGAATTTTTATTTTTTTTAATTGTTTTTCTGCAATGTATCACAGTCCTATAATAGTAAATAAAAAAAATTATTCAGTTATCACAACCAAAAATTAATTAATCTCTGAGCCACCTTTTGGCAAAAAATAGGGTTTAATAAAACTAKTCTCAAAGAATTGATTTATAACATTTTTATTAAAATTTGTCCTGTAGTTTCTATGATTAACGTCATTACCTAAGAATACATTAACTTAAATAATTTTAATTTTTAAGCACTCGTACTTAGCCTTTTATTTTACTAACCTAATAACTCAGAAACTACTTTTTCAAATGTAGATATATGTATACAAAAAAGTTTTCATAAAAACCATCTCCTTGACAATTTAAATAACAAATGGTTTTGATCTAAATAAAAAAAAGATTATATTACCACAGAAAACTTCTTAAATAAAATAAAAATATAAGAATTAAAAAATATGATACTTAAGTAGGTATATTAAACAATTTTAAAAATCAGAATACAAACACGTCCTTTATTAAGGAAAAAATGTTTGTGAGAATGTTCGATTAATCACCCTGTAAACAGATCAATGAATAAAACTTCCTGTATATAGTTTATAACATATAATAATGTTCAATATTAGATTGGTCGAAATGTTGTGTAGTGTAAGTCGTATGTTATGTATGATTGACTCAATACAAATCTCATCACTACTATACAGTTTCAACAACGAACAATCGTTGGCGGTGGCTTGCAAGATATAACATATTTATACATTATTCAATAAAAAATATTAATKATTTTTCTATAGTTTTTTTTTAATTTTCAGAAATTGAAGTTCGTAGAAGGATCGTACGCATTTCAGCTGTGGCAAAAACCTCCGGTTAAAGTTTACGTAAATGTGTACATATTTAACGTGACCAATGTAGATAGATTTTTGGAGGGTGAAGACGAAAAATTAGATGTCAAGGAAGTAGGCCCGTATGTTTATTGGTAAGTAGAAAGCCACTATAATAATTATAGTTATTCTATTAACCGCAAAATGTGCATGTTTGTGTATCAATAAACAAAGAAATATTATTGATTAATAAACGCAAATTGCAAATTACACATTTATCGAAATAAATAAATATTGATATARTGAATTGGTACTACATAATTTTTTAATCGTTTAGTATTTTTAATGATTTGACAAAGGAACCTAAATAAAAGATAATCGTTAAAATATGAATATAATATTTATAGAAAGCTGGACACTGCCGAGGTCCGGATTATCAATGTGCCTTTGTCATGTCATTCAAAATGTTTGAACGTAATTTTATTGCGTTAATTTAGACTAAGTAAATATTAAATTGTTTAAAGTATAAATACCTAGGAAAATAAAATAATAAAATAAGTACCTAATAKGAATTAATATAATAATAATTTTCAATTTAATTGTAAGTGAACTAAATACCTACAAAAATGGCATACAGTTTCAAAAACCTAAATATATAAACGTTCAAAAGTGGTTGTCATTTTTCGAAAATTATATGATTTTGTCTAAAAATGGCTTAACCTGCAATCTATCGGTGTCGTGTTTGTATATTTTAGATACATCATCAATCCATCATAACATAGAATGGTTATCGATTATTTAAAAAACTKTTTTCAATAAATATTACATTCATTTTGGGTAATTCGCCTTACGCCTTGGGAAACATTACAATTTCTCTAGACCCAAGGCCTAGAAGAAAACTAAAATTATAATATGTGTTTAAAATGTTTTAGTTTTGTGCAAAGTCTATTATAGGTTATCGTTATCATTGACGTCTAWTSCATATTATTATACCTCATTTATACATAAAAGTACTTCAATGTATATTCAGTAGACAATTGTACAAGAACAAGATGGGTCTAAATAGTTAATATGCCATTGTAAACTGGTTTCRWATGATTGATTAATTTGCAATTTTGGCAAATATTTTAATGGATTTTAGAAGCCGTGCTTTTTTTCTGAAAACCTTGATTTTAATATGGATTTTGTTGATAAATTATTACAGTTCTATAAAGTATTTAKTAGTTAGTAGTTTTAATTAAAACACAGTTTAAATAAATTCTTACTTGTGTAGATATATTATATTAAAAACAAAAAATGAAGTTCTTTTTAATTGTGTTTGATTAAATTTACTAATTTTAAGTACTTAGAACGTAATTTTTACGATTTTGATTTATAATTTATAAAACATGAACATGATAAATAGCAATTTTGAGTGATGATGAAACATTATAAATACATAATAGTTAAGAAGTAGTTATGAGCTGTAACAAAAAAATATTAATATTTTCAWATTTCATATTCAAAACTAGTGCAATTACTGATAGAAAATACTTAATTTGAGAATACCATACTAAATTCGTCGGTGATAACAAATTAATTAAAACGAATAGTGATTAAAATAGTTTTTGATATATTATGCATTTGTTCGGTCGGTCACCTTTATGTAGTTGATCTAAGATGACAAATTAAATTTCAACACATTGTCTGTGGGATAATTATTCACATCGAGGTGTAGCTCGATAATGCACACTTTTTTCACCATATATTATAATGTTATGCAATAAAACTGAAATACGTGATAGGCAACAATGGCTCTACAATAATAATAAAAATAATCATAAGAATCATAAGAATAAGAATATAATGTGCGTCAGTCGTATAATATGAATTATTTGCATTTTATTATAATAATTTATTTAAATCCCGGAACAGAGGGTCAGAGTACAGGTAGCCGTGATCGTACCTACTAYGTCTACGCATATAATAAAATATTTTATAAATGGTTATTATTATTWTTTTTTTTCATTGCACCATAGCACCCGTGAGAGCCGTTTTAATATTTCCCTATCACGCTCGCTCTCTCCTGCAGCGTTGATAATAAACGTCCTCACATGTACAATACGTATGTACATAGTTGTACATAGTATATGCATATAATATTGTAGGGTAGCCTACTCAGCGCTTTTCACTTAACCTCCCCTGAATGTTTAACATTCCTTGACAGTTGGACGGTGCAAACATCACGTTCTCTAAAAACAACTGTACTTTGAATTAGCTGAGCCTCTAGGCCAAAGTTTAATCTAGGATGTGGATACTGGAGTATATACACATATTATATACGTGCAACATAATAWWATAATAATAATAATATAAGCGACATGTCGTCGTCGTCGTTTTCCACGTGTTATAACGAACCCAATTTGTGCAATCAAACCCAAGAGCGAATGTTATATTAATATTTTATACAAATCGTATGGGCCGTGGCAATTCATTACCATGATTATATTATAATATTATTTTCCAAACATTTATCCATACGGTTTTTTTTTTATTTATAAATAAATTGTTAGCATTTCACCAATATAATAACAATATTATTGTAATTTACTGCATACGTTAATCAATGATGTTTTTGAGTCTATAAAATCGAGAAGTATATTTTGTCTTGCTTCAGATCCGAGAACATAAATGTGCTGTGTAGTTAGATAAATTATGACGATTTATGCAACTCGATCCGGTTTAAACCCGCTGGATACGCTTCTGCGTCCGTGGATGTGACCGTAAACATCGTCGTYGGTTGTATATTTTCATTTRAAAAATCAAATCAAAATAAATATTAATTAATAAGCATTATGTGTATAATATAATATATTAACTACGWACCGTTTAATACAGGTAATTCAATTTCGAGTTCCTAATTAATTGATTCCAACGTTTGATTAATAACGTTRGATGTTTTGTCGACCCATTGGAAGGTCAAACGTAATTTCTAATGTCACTAGRTTTCATTTATTTTGTTTGTAACGATTTACAATTATTTACGATTATTATTTATTGYATATACGAGTGTGCTATTTAAAGTGTAAATACTTACCTGAAACAGTCGCAATGTAGGTAGGCACATGCGACCAATCATAAACCTGATACGGCGTATCATCGAYCCGATTTTGAAATGCGTACCTACCCAATTTCCGAAAAYGGTTGATTGATGATTTCTAGAGCTTTGATTTATGTTCAATAAAAAAAAAAACTGGAAATAAAAATAAAATAAAATCTTATAAGACTGTAGTATAAATACAGCAGTTTTATCAAATCCAAGAATTAATAAAAATAAACCATTGAACAGTCATACACAGTACCTATATATATGRGAACAGGACGTATACGACAAACTTACAAACTTTTTGATTTTATAATTTTAATTTGTAAAGTTGAAATTTGCAGACAATATATTATTATATTATGTTCAAGTCAGGTTTACCTTTTACGTTTAAAACTAACAATTAATGTGATTAAGGATTTCGAGGTAAGAAATAGTCAACTTTGATGATTTTTATTGTACATATGATTTATTGTTATATTGGTTTGCGTGAAGTCTAATAATTTTATTTACCATCAAAAGTAAACATAACATATTTACTACAATTATTAAGTCAAGTTGTAAAGCAGCAAGGTATCTACCAAAATGATAAAATAAGATTTAAAAATTATAAAATAGTTCCCAAAACAGTGAAATTTTTATGGTAAAAAAAAAATATGCACTATGAAGTTTTTTTATTCAGAAAGTTATGGAACGCAAATTTTGCTTACTTAAAATAGGTACATCCATTTATAATATAAAATGCATATAACATTGGTRTGATATGAGCTCTAATTAGGTAATAAAATCATTATTTAAAAATCTTAAAATAAAACACTGCACCCGTGACCCGTATTTATTGTCGGAAGGAGAGAAGGKYTGGCGACAAAATAAAAGTTGTAAAATTTGCTATATTATATATTGATTTGAAAATTATAAAAACCAGTTTAAAATTATTGGAAAGTCAAATATATCAAATTCATCAAATCGATCGAAMAAAGTAGATATACTAATTTCATTGGCATCTATTTATTAATGACCTCAATATTGATCTTAATAGTATATGACATAATTGATAAAAATTCAAAGTATAGTACAAAAAAAAAGTATRTAAATAAATAAACCAAAGTGTCAAAACTGAATTAAATCTCTCTCACCACCAATTTATGAAAATACACTGTGAACTTAAAATTTTATTATGAATAATTTGTGTGTGATTTATCTTACAGGGAGGAGTTGGAAAACACAAACATAACGTTTCACAGCAATGACACTGTAACGTACATCCCAAGGAGGAAACTACACTTCGATCTCAGTTTGTCCGTCGGAGATCCCGAAACGGATCGCATCGTCGTTCCTAACATCCCCTTATTGGTATTAGACATATTGTTATTATCACTTTTATCGAAAGCTGTTTTAATTATAAACATACATATATAATTACATCAATGACTGGGGTTGATGTACAAGCTGAAACAACCTCCTACACTATACCTATTATGTATAGACTGTTTCAATAATACCTATTTCTTGTTTATCAAAATGTATAATACTTATTATCCATCCCTAATATTATAATTAATAATAAATCGTTCGATTATAGTTTTTCAATATTTTTTTTAATCGGTATGGATGAGTACTATTTTATGTATCATACCTGTTCGTTGTGATGTAAACATTCCATTTTAATTCAGCATCAATAATTATAATATCTATTTGGATATTCATATMAAATTTAGAGTACACTATAACATCAATAAAAAAATATCAAACAAATAAGATGTGGCGGTTGAGTACAAAAATGTATAGTTTTTAATATTACTAAATTTGTTGGCAATACTATTCTCAGGGCTGGATTAGTTAGGCGAGCTACCGAGAAAATCTCGGTGAGCCACTCCGAAAAATGTCGATCTTAAGTGTTTGGGCAGAAGTTAAAGTGGGAAAAAATTCCAGATGGGACTAATGTCTCCATATAGTTTTAAGCGTTCCATATATAATTTTATGTATAATGTCAAATGTATAAAATCCTAATTTGTTAAAGGGGACGCTTTTTAACCGCCGTCAGAGGTAAGGGGACTGAGTCCTCCTGCGCCCCACCGCCCCCACTTTAACCCCTGTGTTTGGGCAATTATTTCATAACACATATTTGAATACATTTATTTAACTCTGTCCGCTACGTAAAATCTAGAACGATTTATACATTTTTATTTGAAAAAGGCCCCTTTTAGGGCTGGTTGAAAAATTAAAACTCGGCGGGCCGATACCTTGTCTATCCGGCACTGACTATTCTAAAAAACRATAGTATTTATAATCGTCATAGAAACTGACTTTTATACGGTCAACTTAACACATATTTTACAATGATCTCACAAATTGATTTTATTTTATGTCAAGCAGATAATTTTTCTTCGAAATTCATCGTTAATCACTTAAATATAATTCTAATTTTTATTGTATGTAGTATATCGTATAATATATATTGCACAGTATTATAAAATTTATTATTATGTTAAGGTTCAGTTTAGAATATGGTATTTTTATAAAATCTTCTGTGTGACGTAGCTTATAATATTTTTATGATACATTTTTCACTTTCAAAATTTGAATACATAATAAGAAGAGATGCAAAATGTTTACATAACGTTTTCACTTATCATACAACTACTTATTTTTCAATGTTAATTTTATATTATTGTTTATGAAGTAATAATATAATGCGCGTGTTCTTTTGCAGCACACCGTATGTAAAGTCACTAATTTATAGTGGTGTTGTATTAGGCGTATGYAGATTCCATATTATTCTACACTACAAATTAATAAATCTTCCACGGGAAAGTCGGGAACCCGCTCCGACACACCTTCCGCCGTTAACCACAGTACGTCACAGTATTTCTTGGATAATTTGCATTCGGAGCACCTACATTAATTTAAAAAAAAAAACTTTTTATTTATTTCATATTTTGTTCATTTCCTACAAAGCTTTTGTACGATTAATATACAAAACACTACATTATTACTGCATACAAATGTACTTACAACATTAACGAGCTTTAAACTATATACCTATACGCAGGTATGAGATGGTAACAAAAATTTTAAATGTTTATAACACTGAAACAGGTAAATTTTAGTAGCCTGAAAATAATAAGTAATTCTGTCAAAAAATTCTCAAATTTGTTTATATTTTATAAAACAATGCYTTTATTATGGCTGGGCTTAAAAAAATATTTGGTTTTCRTCAAAAATAGTATTTTACCTGGTTTTTAAACTAATTAGAARTACATCGATTGGATAGATAATTGTGAGTCAACATTAAAATGTATCAACTGTAAAATACTAKGTATTCAATAATATGTAGGAGCTACAAACATAAGATATGTGTATAGATATTTTATATTTTTGTTATTATTATATTTATTTTTATTATTTGTGATATGTCAGTCGTTGGTTACGCGTTCTTGATGTATCTTCAACTGTCGTTAGTTGTAAAAGTAAACTGATAATCGCAAGTGCGTAAAATTTAATTTGTGAGTGGATTCAGAGCCGAAGAAAAATTAAATCTCAATATTGGATCGCGAAGGAACCTAGATGAATGACCTTTAGTATGATAAGAAGGAAAATATGTGTTTAATGTGTTTCAGGTGGTACTTTATAATATACACTTATTGTTGTATATACTGATAAACAGTATGCACATATTATATAATAAATATATGTATATATTATATACTTATATGTAGTGCCGGATCTAGGGGGGGGGGCGAACGGGGGCACTTGCCCCGGAAGTTTTGGTTAGGGGGTGCCAAATTACAAAATAAGTTGTGCATATATATTAATAGTTTTTATTCATTTTATAATAAAAGTATTATACAAATTACAATTTCTATTTCCATTTGACTTAATAGTTATAACAACAGTGGGAAAAGCTCAAAAAYCTAATGGAAATTATTTGTCTAATAAATATATTTTCTGAAATAACAACTTTAAGTGAAAAACAAAAATTCAACATTTTAATCAAATCTGCTATAGATAATATTTTATCAGGATTAAGATATCGTTTTGAGCCAATAGAAAATATATTAATTCTACATTTTCATTTTTAGATGGTAAGAATTGTTTAAAATATCATTAAAGGATGTAAAAAAAACATTCAATTGACCTAGGTATGTAATAAGTATGAAAGAAACTTAAATAATATCGAATTTATATACGAAATTGAAAGTTTTAAACAACATATTTTTGCATTAGACAACTCACTAAAATATGGGAATTATTATGAAATAATAAATTGTATTCATAAAAATAATCTAAAAGATGCTTATCCCAATATTTCAATAGCATATCAAATATTTTTGACTTTATCTGTAACTTCAGCATCTTGCGGACGAAGTTTTAGTAAGTTAAAATTAATCAAATCCTATCTTAGATCTTCAACAAATCAAAACAGACTCAACCATCTTTCAGTTATTTCAATTGAAAATCAAATTGCCAAAAATTTAGATTATGACGATATAATTAACGATTTTGCCACCAGAATTTAATGATAATTTGTTTGATTGTTGTATATTGATTATTTTCATGTATTAGTTTGTAATAATTTGTGTTAAAAGTTTTTTATTTAATAMATATTTTTTCTAATTTAGCAAATATTTTTTTTTTATTCTCTTCGTTTCTTTTTTTTTTAGAGCTTAAGTATAATTGTGGGCATAACAAAGGGGAAGGCGCTAACTTTATACTTTGCCCCGGGTAAAAAATATACTAGATCCGGCACTTCTTATATGTGCCTAAATATTAACTAATACCTACTAAAATTGTTTTCATGTATAATTTTAGTGAGTCACTGATCACTAGTATTAGCTTTACGGTTCATAAACTATGTATGTGTGTTTTCACGAGCGGTTTAGCCGTTTGGATGTCAAAAAAAAAATATATAATTTTTGGTCGACGTTTTGTCTTCATACGGTCACATTACGCATTACTAACGTAGGTACTATACTAATTATATGTTATTTCTCAATGTAGGGATTCACTTCGATGCTCCGAAATTCACCGATGTTCGTGAATGTCGTGTTCAATTCGTTGGTCGAATACCAGGATTCTCAGCCAATACTCAATTTGTCAGTAAATGAATTCCTATGGGGATATGAAGACAAGTTAGTGAAGATGGCTAGCAGTGTGCTGCCCACGTGGATCAATTTTTCCAAATTTGGCCTACTCGATCGGGTAATTATCATTATCGGTTATAAAATACTCACTGATTTTATATTACCACAGCATAATATTTTAACTTTTAAGTTTTAGCATATTATTATGATGTAATATCCAGAATAATGATGAATTATTACTTCCGAGTAAACCAGTATGTTCTTTTATTTTTCACCTTAAAACTTATATAAAATAGTGTTATTATTATTATTTATGTTTAGAGGGCATGATAATATTAATATGTTATCCCGCATGTGTTGATGTCTTTATTTTACGCAAGTGCGTAACGTAGCAAATTATAGCAACAAATCACTAAATGAGAATTGTTGAACATACATTTTTTACGCTACGCAATTATTAGACAGTAACAACGCCGCTGGTTAGAAACCCTTTTCATAGTTTAAATGAAAATGCATTTATAATCTTAAAACTATCAAGATTTATTTTTTATGAGTTACTAGTCAAACAAAATAGGAACTCTCTTTAATAACTTTACCGCGGTTAAGTCAATATTTCATCTACAGAATAATAATTCGATATCATCCTCTTATAAATATAAGTATAAGGGCAATATATTATCTCCTGATTTTAAAACGAAAATCTATACTTATTTTAAAAAATCACATTTTACTTATTATGAATTCAAATAGCTTGAAATTCAGACGTTAATTTAATCGTATGAACCTATTCATCAGTTCAAAAACTTATAGCTGACAGACATGATAGATTGCAGTCTCACAAACCATGTATTTATCAATAATATTATAATGAATAAAATAAAACAACATATTATTACAATGTAAATTAGGATTAATAAAAAAATTTAAATAA